CACACACACACACACATACGCCCACCACACAGACCTATTCACAGATTTTTAGGTCCCGCATTTTTTTCTTAAAGATGTTGTACAAAGAATTTATTGCATGAGTTATGGTAGAAGATTGTGATTAAATTGTTCTACTAGTGACTCTGTCATGTTGTAATCATGACTTTCAACTTGTGCTTACGATTTGGCGACTTATCTCTCAGGATTCATCATGATCTACCTGTACTACCCAAACTCAAGCAATACATTTGTTAAAATAGTATCCTAATGTTTATGAAGACATGTAGACCTAGTTGAATCGAAAACAAAAACAAGAACAGATGTCAAGAAAATGTAACGTAGAGGGAGGTAATAGTTCTACATTAAAATACACAATAGTGTAAAATAATATATAACATTATAGATAAATTAACTTTGCAAAAGGTGCTTCTTTATTACAATTATTCGCACTTTTGCATTGTGCACGGATTTTCAGGTTATACAAATACAATGGTTTATTTTGTTTTACACTATTTTCTAACCGATGGTGATTACAACAATGCAATACTTTGAATGCTACAGCCACAACAGCAACCACAACAACAGCAAAAATAACAACAATAACAACAACAACAAAATCATCACCAACTACAGCAACAACAGCAACAGCAACAACAAAAACAAAAACTACAACAACAACAATAACAACAACAACAACAACAACGAAAACAAAAACAAAAATAACAACAAAAAACCCCTCAAAAAACCAACAACGGCGGCAGCAACGACAACAATAGCAACCTTTACAACAACAACTACACGTAAGCTATTTGCTTTTCAGGTCATAAAGGAAGGGTATGTCGAATCCGGCCATTTTGTGAGAGTAGACCTTGTCAAAATCCTCGTCTTGCTGCACTGTGAACTGGGACTTCCAATCTCCCACTGTGCCTGGGGAGTTAGTTTTAGTTTTAGTAAGAGTTTTACGGCACTTTCAGCACAAACCGGTCACAATGACATTAATCGAGCCGAAGGCTAGAGATGTTAAGATAGCTGTACCTAGAAATGAAGGAGGGCAGATAAGGACGATTGGATAGATGTTCGATATGAAAGGAGCAGTAAACTTACCAAAGAAACTCTACTATGTACACGTATCGTAGAAAAATTGTCATTGAACCCCCCCCCCCAACTCTTTTCAATATTGTTTTGGTCCATTTTTTTCTCTGAATTAATCTTCTCCTAGAATAGATATGTGATGAGGTATGACCAGGACAACATTTCTTTGTAGTTGTTATTTTTTGTGTGTTTTTTTCCTTCTCCTCGAGCATCCACTGAGCGGAGTAATGAATGGCGAAACATGGTCGCTGATGTCTGTCTGATATTTGTGGTTGATGATGATGATGATGATGATGATGATGATGATGATGATGATGATGATGATGGTGGTGATAATGATGATGATGAGGATGATGATGATGGTGACGATGGTGATGATGATGATCCTTCTGTTTGTTGTCAATTGCAAATATTTTATTTAGCGTTCTGTTGGACAACTGTAAAGACTGAAGGCGTGACAGGCACCAATAAAATCACAGCACGTTTTTTTTCTTCTGAAATTGAGATTGTCTAGGTGTATTGCCTTTGCAACGCTGTAAGGTTATTTAAAAGGTGGGACCTCCGAATTTAACGTCCATCTCCGAATAAAAACCCAAAGTTTTACGGAGTGAGGTTGTTTCAGCGCGTAAACCATGTCGCATTTACTCATGCCCTGTCTTGTTTTGTGTATGCGTGAGTGCATCTAACTTCTGTAACATCAACTAACATTGTAAACTACAGAGACAAACTTTTCTAGTGAGATGAATAAAGATTGCTATGTCGTTGTCATTGTCAAATAAGAAATTTTGTGTAAAGTGCCATTACCAAGGACACAATGTCGGACTCCTGATTATGTTAAACCCATGACCTTTCGGTAAAGAACCCAACAGACTAACCTCTATCTAGTGCACCAATGCTACCCCCTGGTTCCTGTTTTTGGGAGAAATAATTGCAGCCCCCCCACCCCCACCCTCACACACATACTCACATTTCAATGCAATCTTACAGATTTCCTCACAAGACTGTCTTGACGTTGGTCTCCAATAGTGCTCATCATCTATTGGACTGCGCTGGTTTTTTACCCCCCCAAAGCACTCAGTGTACCATAGCTCCCTCCTCCCTCTTGTACTGTGTATTTACTTGGATGATGTTACTGCCATGAGCGCTAGCACTGTAGTATTAACTAGTGGCGTCCAAAAGAAACTTAAAAATGTAATTACCCAATCATCGTGTTAAAGCCTTGCACTATCCACTCATGTAGCATACCAATTTAAACTCAATAAATTCTGCTTCATACGACACATTGCTATTTTTTGCAAGAGACGCCTGAGATATGATCACTCAAAATTAACCTTTAAAAATCAGGCTTGGCAAAATTGTGCGAAATCAGAGAAACGCAAAAGTGTGTTTGCAGGTATATTGAGGTGCATGAACATTGGTGGAATGGACATGTATTGGATATCAATTAAAGGAGAACATTATTGTCTTTGCAATGACCCGCATCTTCTGGTGATATTTTCAGGTTGGAGAACAGAGTAGCTATTTGCATTAAGGTTGTTTTTGTTTAGGAGGTATTGGTTTCGTGTTCTGCGCGATACCATTTTTGCACATGTTAGTTAGATTTTGGACATAATCATCTGTCAGTGATGAACAGAGACTACGAAACTTCCCTGGATTTGGGTGGGTTGGGGTGGAATTAATACAATCGTCCTCATGAAAACCACCGGATGGTGCGGTTTATTGGACTACATCGTGCAAGTGCTGGAACGTCAAGTTTTACCCTGATTTTCGTCATGGTGTCATTTGAGTAGACACCTCTATGCATAGCAAAGAACTTTCGTACAGATGACACTAGATAATTCTTGGAAAACCAAATCAAATCAAAGTTGGAGTGGTCACCAGTAAATGGCCCCGATATGAATCCAACAGGCATGTGCAAGTGAAGCCCCCATGAAACAGCAGCTGAAGAAAAGCGACTTTGCTCCCAATTCAGTCTCCTTTTTTACAACTCTCTGTGATATTTGGGATGAAACACCACAAATAATAAAGTCCAAAATTTAACAGAGTAGATGACCAAAGGGATCGAGCACTGCACAAAACTAATGGCTCCTAAGCAAAATAACACTGAGCACATTTAATATAAACTCCAAATTTTGCATGGTATTTGTGATTGCTCTTTTTTTTCGTAATGTTTGAAATTTTGTGACAAGATATAAAAATGTTTATTGCAATACAAAATTCCCCATTCATTGAATATGTAATGTATGTCCATTCTATCAACATTGATGCTCTTCAACTTCAATGCACGAGCGAACACATTTTTACGTTTCTTTGATTTCGCACGATATTTTGCAAAGCCTGATTTTTTAAAGGTCAATTTTTAGTGACTATATCTCGGGCATCGTTTAACATAGATGCACTATTAATGTGTTAGATGATGCAGAATTTATTTAGCTGTAAATTGGTACGCTGCATGGGTGGGTAATGAGAGGCTTTAACACGATGATTTGTTGATTACATTTTCAAGTTTTTTTTGGACGCCACGATATAACCTCTTTGAATTAAGGTCAGAAATGAAGTGACGAGTTACCTTTCCTGAGCAATGGCGAGACAGAGCTGTCTATTGAGTAGACGTCCAGGTGGTTAGTCATGGGGTTTGATTTCATCTCCTGGAAGCTACAGTGGTTGGCGATGCTGGACAGTGTGACGTCATCGAGGTTTGTCTTACCCAGGAATTGAGCCAGTTGTTTGATCTCAGCCAGAGGGTCCTGGTGGGACAAGAATATGATTTTTTCTTTAAGATGTAGATGATTTTACTCCCCCCCTCAACCCCCCCTCGAAACACTTTAGATCGTTTAGGAGGCAGGCTTCCGACCCTGCTAGTCTGGCCTGACCAACCTGATCCATGAGGGATAGATACAATATTATTATATCAACAGAAAGACCGATATACTTGATGAAAATCTTAGGAATCTAACTCGGGTCTCCTGCAAGCGCCAGAACCTGAACCACAGACGCTGTTCAAGATGAAGGGAATGACCACCCAGCTGATGAGTGGGCTTGCACATAAAGAGCACTCCGTTCGTTCAGTTGGTATCATGCAGCACAACATAACAGGTGGCCATGGTTCGAATCCCTGACTGAACGTTCTCGAACTCTGGTCGTCTTGTAGAGTTTTGCGAAACCATTAAGAAAATTAGTTTGGCTCGATCTTATTGGCGATAGACGTTAACTCTTATAGATCTAGTAGGCAAAAGGTTCCACAATTTTACGCACCCATGCGTTTAGGGTGTTACCTTAAAACGGCCATAGTTCTGTCAAATATAATAATATGTGGATTTGTTTCTTGTTGTTTTTGTTTTTGTGTCTTGGTTGTTTTTTTACTCTCAAACTGTTCGTAATTGGGCTGAAAATCATATTGTAGGTGAAAATGTAATAGTATACATAGCACAGGAGCAGGTGTAGCTCTTGGGGACGACGAAAGCGCTATCCTCACAACGATCCTTACGTGGCGACCCAGAATCAAAGAGTTAAATTCTAAGGTCCTTAATAGTGTTGGTAGAGGCGTGAGACCCATACATTTACTTAAGCAAATGAAGTTAAACTCAGGGAAGCCACACCCCCACACCACTTTAGGAAAGTGAGAGAAGCTGCTATCTACCGCGAATTGTTGTGATTCTGACCATGACAAGTTACTTACCGTTATTTTCATTACTCTCTATTATCATGTTAGCAAAAGCAAAGTCTGTTATTATTTTCTCTTCCTTATTGGGTGTCAAGGGTCAACAGAAGTTGATAATGAAGGTAATGTACTACTACCACTACTATTACTACTACTACTACTACTACTACTACTACTACTACTACTACTA